ATTCTACATCCAACAAAGGTATCCTTCACAAATGAAGGGAAATGAAAACATTTCCAAATAAATAATTTGTAACTATAAAATTTCTTCAGGCAGAAAGGAAGTGGTACCAAGTGATAACTAGAATTCTCAGGAAGAAATGAAGAGTGCTAGAAATGGTAAATATGTGGGTAAATGTAAGTAAAGTATTTTACAAATAGATATTTTCTGTTTAAAAACATACAGTTTTTAGCAGTATATTTATACAGTTTTAGCAGTATATTTTTGGATTTACACAACTATGTATTTATATGTGTGACAACATATAACACAAAGGAAGAGGAGGGAAAAGAAATGGCCCTTGGACAATTGAACATCCATATGGAAAAAATGAACTTAGACCTTTACTATACACAAAAAGTAACAAAGATGATCCTAGACTTAAACATAAGAGTGAAAACAGTAAAACTTCTATTAGAAAATGTAGGAGAAATTTTTGTGCCCTTAGGCTAGGCAAAGAATTCTTAGGTATAAGAGCAAAAGCATGAGCTATGAAAGATAAAATTTATAAAGTGAACTTCATTCAATTGAAAAAAATTTACTTTTCAAAAGGTATAATCATGAATGTGAAACTATAAGCTATAAACTGAGAGAAAAATAAAATCATATCTAAGTTCTTATAAGCTGAATAAATAAATAATTCTTACAACTCAGTAATAAGACAAATACTCCAATTAAAATTTTGGGAAAATACTGGAGTAGACATTTTTATTAGTGAGGAACAGAACCAACAGAGTGTGTGTGTGTGTGTGTGTGTGTGTGTGTGTGTGTATTTATAAAGAGATGTATTATAAGGAATTGGCTCGCAGTTATGGAGGCTGAGAATTTCCCAAGAGCTGAAGTGAGCAAGCTGAAAACTCAGGAGAGCTGGTGTATGGTTTTAGTCCAAATTGAAAGGCCCGTGAATCAAGAGAGCTGATGGGGTCTGCAACTGGGCAGCCATTAGAACTAAGAGGAGTTGTTATTTCAGTCTGAGTCTGAAGGCTGGCAGAGACCAATGACCTAGCTCTATAGTCAGGAGGAGGAGTTCCCTCCTATTTAGTACTTTTGTTCTGTCTGCGTCTTCGATTGGTGGGGTAAGGCTCATCAGTGTTGGGGAGAGCAATTTCCGTTACTTAGCCTGCTGATTCAAATGTCAATCTCGTCCAGAAACATCATCACAGATGCACTTCAAGTAATATTTGGCTAAATGCCTGGGCATCCTGTGGCCCTTTCAAGTTGACACATAAATTAACAAGTACAACATTTTACCAAAGGACATACAGTTGGCTAATAATCACATGAAAAGGTACTCAACATCATAATTAATTATAGAAATACATAGTAATTCAAACCACAATAATATTCCACTACATGACCGTAAGAATGGTTGTTGCCAAAAAATTTACATGAGAAACCTGCCTACATTGCTAGTGGGATATAAAGTGGTATCACCACTTTATAAAACAGGTTTTTTCTTATCCTATCTAATAAAAGAGAAGCATGGTAATTAGCATATGACCGCTACCCTTCCCATTGGCTAATCAGGGCGATATGCAAATTAAGAGCCAGCCAAGATGGCAGCCGGCAGCCGGGCAGCTTAAAGTGAACATGAGGCTTGCTTGCTTCAGTGACAGAGGACTCCAACGTTCCCCGCCTGCCGCTGCCGGCCTCTGAGCTGCAACTCTAAGCAACTATGTTACAAATATAGAAGCTAAACAAAACCCCAGAAACCTGCTTTAGTCGCCGGGCTTCAGCTAGCAGGATCGCAACATTGTTTCAAATACAGAAGGTAAACAAAGGCCAGAAAGCTGCTTTCAGCAGCGGAGGCCTAAGAGCTGGAGCCTCAGAGCTAAAGCTGGCCCAGAATAAAAAAAAAGAAAAAAAGGAGCAGTTGGGAGCTTCAGTCACCTGCCAGCCTGAAAAGGCTGGTGCCTCAGCCCCTTACCCAGACTGGCCAGGCACCCCAGTGGGGACCCCCACCCTGATCCAGGACACCCTTCAGGGCAAACCAGCCGGCCCCCACCCATGCACCAGCCCTTTATCCTATATAGTATAAGGGTAATATGCCTCCCAGCACCGGGATCAGCGGAGCCACAAGGCCTCCCGGCACCAGGATCAGTGTGACAGGGGGCAGCGTCCAAACCTCCTGATCGCCCTGAGGCTCTGTGTGTGACAGGGGGCGGGGCCACAACCTCCCTTTCGGCCCTGCTCTGTTCGTGACAGGGGAAGGCGCCCCAACCCCCTGATCAGCCCTGCTCTGTGCCTGATAGGGGGGAGCTCCCCAACCCCCTGATCGCCCTGCGGCTCTGTGTGTGACAGGGTGCGGCGCCCCAACCCCCCCCCCCCCCCCATGGGCCCTGCTCTGTGTGTGACGGGGTAGAGCTATAACCTCCCCATCGGCCCTGCCCTGAGTGTGACAGTGGCGGTGGCCCAACCCCCTGTTCAGCCCTCCTCTGTGTGTGACAGGGGGCGGCGCCCCAACTCCCTAATCAGCCCTGCTCTGAGTCCGACCAGGGGCTGCACCTAGGGATTGGGCCTGCCCTCTGCCACCCGGGAGCAGGCCTAAGACAGCAGGTCGTTATCTCCCGAGGGGTCCCAGAATGCGAGAGGGCACAGGCTGGGCTGAGGGTCCCCCCTCCCCCCCCGAGTGCACAAATTTTTGTGCACCGGGCCTCTAGTAAAGTTATAAATTTACCACATGACCCAGCGATTCCACTTGTAGGAATCTATCCAAGAGAAATGAATACATACATCCTCATGAAGCCTTGTATGCAAATGTTCATAGAAAGATTATTATAATAGGTATTAATTGTCATCAGCTGGTCAGCAGATTAATAAAGTGTGGTATATTTGGTATGGGTACAGGGATAGACCGTAAATAAGCTTGAGGGAATTTTGGGGCAATAGACATGTTCTAAAACTGTTCTTGTGGTGATTGTATGACTGTATATGTTTATTTATAACTAGGGGCCTGGTGCACAGATTCGTGCACAGGTGGGGTCCCTCAGCCTGGCCTGCCTCCTCTTGTCATCTGGGACCCCTTGGGGGGATGTTGGTTGCTGGTTTCAGCCTGATCCCCTCAGGCCAGCCCAGCTTGTGGCTGAACAAGCTCCCTGACCACCAGGGGACAGTTTCTGCATTGAGCATCTACCCCTAGGTGGTCAGTGCTCATCATCGTGACAGGTCAACTGGTCTTTCAGTTCTAATGGTCGCTTAGGCTTTTATATATAGACTGGAGGCCCGTTGCATGAAGATTCCTGCAATAATAGGGCTTCCTCAGGCCTATTCCTCCAAGAATAGGGCTTCCTGAGACCGGAGCGAAACAGAGAATGGAGCGAAGCCCACTGAGGCGGGCTTCGCTCCTTTCTCCGCTGCCTCGCTCCCTCCCTTTGCCACTTACCCCTCGGCTCCCTCCCTTCTCTGCCACCTGGACTCTCTCCCTTCTCTGCCGCTTTGCTCCCTCACCAGGTCACGGATCCAAGGCCCGGGTCCCTCGGGCAGTGTCTTGCGCTACAGGCCCTGCCTTGCCAGGTCAGGGGTCCGGAGCCCAGGGCCCGCGGGCAGCGTTCCTTGTGTGCTGCCAGCCCCACCTTGCCTGTATGGCCTGGGGCAGGGTCCCACAGGCAGTGTCACTGCTGGCACAGGCTGCTATATGCAAATTAGCCGCCATCTTTGTTGGCAGTTACTTTGCATATCACACTGATTAGCCAATGGGAGGCGTAGCGAAGGTATGGTCAATTACCATGTTTGTCTATTATTAGATAGGACTAGAGGCCCGGTGCACAAAATTCATGAACGGGGTGGGGGGGTGGCGGATCTCCTCAGCCTGGCCTGCACCCTCTCGCAATCTGGGACCACTGGCTCCTAACCGCTTGCCTGCCTGATTGCCCCTAACCACTCTGCCTGCATGCCTCATCGCCCCTAACCACTCTGCCTGCCTGCCTTATTGCCCCTACCTCTCTGCCTGCCTTCCTGATCGCCCCTAACCCCTCTGCCTGCCTGCCTGATCACCCCTAACCACTTGCCTGCCTGCTTGATCGTCCCTAACCACTCACCTGCCTGCCTGATCACCCCTAACTGCTTGCCTGCCTGATCGCCCCTAACCGCCTCTGCCTCGGCCCCTACTGCCACAGCTTCCTCCGGAAGGATGTCTGGAATGATGTCTGGAAGGCTGTTAGGCTGTCAGGTCTAATTAGCATATTATGCTTTTATTATTATAGATAACTGAATTGTTTACAGTGGTTAAATTTTATAGGATGTATCTTATAAAAATAATATGTATGTATATAATGAGCAAATGACAATGCAAACACAAAATAATTAGGGAATCTGAGGGGATGGAATTTTTTGTACTATTTCCTCTTTTCTACAACTTATAATTAATTCAAAGTTCAAAATTATTGAAATTTTAATGGATTTAGAAATGGTCTAATTTTCCTTTGTATTGTTTTTTAAAAAATGTTAAAAAACATTTGTTTTAAAAAACTCAGTTCTAAAGTGGTTTTTTAAAAAAAATCAGTTTGTTTATTCTTTACTTCTTTGATTTGCTAATTGCTTTGACCAGATAATCTGCATTTGCTTTCTATCCCCACTTCCTACCCCCACACAGTGCAAACTTGGCCAGCAAGCCTAATGTTCAAAAGTGAACCCTTCCTGCTTCATATAAGTATTTGGTCTATGCTAGTGAGCATTCATACCTGTGGAAAGACATTCTGAAGATATATCTGTTTCCCTCATCTGTGCAGTAAAATGTGCCAATATTATAAGCAAAGCACTTTCTACTGTAGGACATGAGCACAGCTGTTTTTCCCTTTGGCAGTATTTCTTAGGTTCAATGATCACATCTCTAGGTTTTCTTTCTTTTTTTTTTTCCTCACAAAAGAAAAAGTTAAATGAAAATATTAACACATTTGTTGAGAGCAGTAAATTAAAGTGAAATTGTGTGACTCATGCTAATGCAGGTCTGTGGGCTTTATTTGAAGGTCACTCCGTGAGACTGCTGGGTCAGAAGAAGGATAATGGGAAACGGTTGGGGGGAGCACCGTTGGATTTGCCGAAGATTAGAAAGAATCCACTGATAGAAATCATTTCCATCAATACTGGGTAAGCTGCTCTCCAACTTCCTCATAAAATATTCAGTACATTTCATGAATTCAGGTGTGATTTTTTTCTTGGACATGCGAAATAGAAAAGTAGTTGTACATTTTCACGAGAAAGGAAAATGAAAAAGCTGTGAAACACGTGATTACAATGCCCTCTAAAATGCTCCCTGCATGAAAGTTAGACTTACATTTGCAGGAAGATTTTATACCTTTGATTAATATTATTCTAACTTCTCGTTTTTGGTAATAAACATGGATTTCACTTTACAGCTGTGCCCTAGGTTAAAATCTTTTTAAAGAGAGCATTTTATTGTGGAAAATGGTTAACATGCTATCATTGTGGACTGTTTTGTCTGTAGGGTTATAGTAAATATTACCCAAGGTACTGAGCATGCTTTGATTATTAACTATCTGAAATACATATTTGAAATATGTTACTCTTAGAGTTCTGGAGGTCAGAAGTCTAACACACGTCTTACTCTGCTAAAGCCAAGGTTCTCGGGGAGAAATCCGTTTACTTGCTTTGTTCAGCATCTAAAGGCCATGCACAGTTTTTGCTTAGGGTCTCCTCCGTCCATCTTCAAAGCCAGCGCATTGTATTTCTTTGTATCTTCCATAGTCACATTCCCTCTGATTCGGACTCTCCCACTTTTAAGTGATTATATTGTGATTCATTGGGGAGCCCTGAATAATACAGGATACTCTCCCTATTTTAATGTCAGTTGATTTGCAACCTTAATCTCTTTTAGCCTGTGAGGCTCCAAGGGTTAGGGTAGTATGAAAGAAAATTGTAGGTCGGGAAAAGAATTAGCAAAGGCATAGGAGTGGACCATATAATTGTTTATGAAGTAGATGATTTTGTTCAGTTTGTCTGGAGTTTTCAGAGTGTGTAAGGAAAAGAGTGATAAATTACCTTTTGTGTGAAGAATCTAATTACACTTAATTGAGTGATAAAGGAAAGGAGAGCCCCTGAAGTCTGGCGCAGAGGTGAGAATAATCATAGCCAGGCTTTAGGGAGGGTATTCTGGGGCAAGGTTGTAATGGAGATTGGGGCTGGGAGATTGCTGGATACATAGAGAGCACTTAGGAGGCCCTTAGTGCCCCAGCCAGGAGGGAGTGAGAGCCTGAATGGTGGTTATGGGAATGGAAAGCAAGAATAGCATCAAGTTTTCGGAATGATTTAGAACATGGGGCTTTGTGCCCTAACCAGGTGGCTCGTTGGTTGGAGCATCCTCCTGGACACCAAAAGATTGCGGGTTTGATCCCCAGTCCCCGGTTGGGGCATGGACAGGAGGCACTGGATCCATGTTTCTCTCTCAGTGAGTACGTGTGGTTATTTACATAGAGAAGTACCAACCAAGTGCTGTGGTCAAGACAGCAGGGAGGCAACACATACACAAAAGAGGTGAGCTGAGGCTGAAAAAAGCTCACTTTTATCAGGGTGTCCCATGTATGTAATTGCTAATTTTTTCTGGTACTGAGACTGGAGTGTGGAGACAGAAGGTAATGTAGGGGACACACAGTAAAAAAATCAGATATTGTGCCATAAAGAAAATCTGTGCTTTATTATGCCTTCTCTATCACTATTAAGGTCATCATTTTTGACAATACCTTGACAGTTTTTTGTTCTTCCAAACCAAGAGTTGAGTGCTGCTTAGCAGTTCTGATATAAGTTATGTCATTTTTTAGATGCTACTATCATATTATGTCCAGTTTGAAGGTAATCCTCCCCTGGGCTAAACACATTTTAGAAAATAGTGTTTAACACTGTAATACTTTATCAATACTTTTTCTTTTAAAATTTATCTTGTCTTGTTATTTTCTATCTGTCAGACATAAAATAATGGTTTTGGGGGACCTTTAAGGGGAATCTAATTTTCTTTGAGATTATGTACCTAAAGTATACTATCATTTTTACATTTACCCCGGCCCCCTAATAATATCTTATTAGCTCTTAGAAAACAAACTAACTTATTTGTTTTCACTTTCTTTCTATAATGTCCAGAATTTATCAGTCCCTATTCTAGTGCTAGATACATAGGTGCTTTCTAAATATTTGAATGAATGAATGAATGAATGAATGAACAAATGAACAAAGAAGAATGCAAATTTATTTTACATCAGTGTTTTTAGAGGAATATAATTATTACTAATAGCTTTTTGTTATCTTTCTGGTTCTAATGATTAAATATGAAATAGTTATTAACTATATATAATCATAATGCATGTGAAAATATAATTATTATGTGCTTACCATATTACCAGACATTGTGTTAGATATTATGATATATACAGAGATAAACATTTCCCGAATCAATAAGTAACTAACATTGACTGGAATAATCCAAAACAGGCGACTGTGAACTCAGGGTCAGTTGCAGCTCCTGTGTGAGGAGATTCAGAGCTCACTTATTCCATATCCAGGGCAGTGCAGCTGGGTCTGAGCGTGGCACCCTTTCCAGTCGGTGACCCCTCTGCCCTCTGAATTTCAGGGCTTTGAGGCACAGATGTCCCTCACTTCGCCTCTAGACGCTGCAGTGGCAGCACCACAGTGGAAACCTCTTCTGCCATTACCAGCACACAGTGGGAAGTAGAAGCCTCAAATGCTACCTTTTATGTTACTCTTAAATTACAGCTTTTCAGAAAAGTATGTTCTATAAAAACAACTTTAAAGGTATTTAACTAAAAGTGCTCTTAAAAAGCTTGAAATAAGGATCCAAAGAGATCCTGCTCGAAGTTTGAATATATGTGGGATCATCCTTATACTAAAGTGAATTTTTTTAACACTTTGGGTAGATAAAATGTGGGATGTTTTATATTATAATCTCTTTGGCATGGCTCTATATTACTATATTCAGTAATGGCTCTTGAGTCCTTAATATCTTTGCATGGGGTCAAGAAAAGGATACTCATATTTTTCAGCTCATGCTATACTGTTGCTCACACATCATGATTATATAAGCCATGGTCCTTGCTGAATCTGCTCCTCCTGAGAATAGCTTCTCCAGCCCCAGTCCATCCCCACAGACAGCTGTGAGACATCATGACACCTCTTGCTAACAGGCACTATCTCCAGATAAAACATCTTCCAAAAGTAATTCACACACTTTATAGTCATTCACTTATTTTAAAATTATGGCTTAATATTACTTTGCAAATTAACCTAAGCCAATTTTGCCATGCATAGCTCTTAGGTTTTTTTTTTTTTTAATAGAGAATAATAGCTACCAATGAGAATTAGTTGCTTCCCTATAGCCCAGCTGTCAGATTATAATGAAAGCAAGTCCCAGTCCAAAATCTGCAATAAGAATTTATTAAACAAGGTGGCACCGTCCAGCTGTGCTTGTAAGCTTAGTGAAGTCCTAATTCTCTCTTATGTAGGTGGTTAAATCAAACCTTGCATGAAAGGTTCACTTTAACCAGATGATACAAAACTGTCAGCTTTAGGCAACCAAAATCCTCTACACAAGGCTTAGAGTGAGGGGAGGGGAGGGACTAAGCCACAATAATATTATTTTTTTTAATTTAATTTTATTGTTTAAAGTATTACAAATAGTAGTACATATGTCTTTTTTTTTTCCCCCCCATCGACCTTCCCCAGGCCTCCCCTACCCGCCGGGCACATGCCCTCACCCTACCTCCCCAGTGTCTTGTGTCCATTGGTTATGCTTATATGCATGCATACAAGTCCTTCGTTGATCTCTTACCCACCTTCCCCGCACCCCCCCCCCCCCCCCCCGCCACCCAAACACTCCCCAGCCTTTCTGCTGTAATTTGAGTCTGTTCGATGCTTCTCTGCCTCTGTATCCATGGTTCAAGCCAGTGTGACCCAACCTGTGGTCTGTGGACTAGTGCAGGTATTAACTACTGATGGCTGGTCTGTGACAAGTATAAAAATTGAGAGCAAATATTTTAGAAACTCTTAAGGCAGTTTTACATTACTGCAGTGTCTTGTAAGTTATTTCATTGTATTTTATCCCAAAAAATTATTGGTTGCAAATAAAAATCCTTCCATCACTATAGATAGTTTGAGAAGCACCGGTCTTGGCCAGTGTGCTGTTGCAAGGTTCTTTACCTTATTTTGGAAAATATTTTAGCCAATTTGCTTACCTTTACTGCCACTGATTTCACTAATGAGATTCCATTTCTACTGTCGTTTATGTTAGTATTTAATCACTTGTGGTTAGTAGTTAAGTACTACTTTCACAAATGAGAACTTATTATTGTCATTTATTATATTAATTTGCAAAGCCTCTGCTTTTGACTAAAGATAAAAGAAAGATAGCTAAAGCTTAACCAGTAATTTTTGGAAGGTAGAATTTCTGATTAAAAAACTAGCAAAGAGAGACTGTTCTTAGTGTTGCAGCTTAAAATAACTTATGTGCCCTGGCTGGATGGCTCAGTTGGTTGGAGCATTGTCCCGTACACCAAAAGGCTGTGGGTTCGAGTCCCTGTAAGGGCCCATACCTAGGTTGCAGTTTGGATCCCTAGTCGGTGTGCATACAGGAGGCAACCCATCAGTGTTTCTCTCTCATATCAATGTTTCTCTCTCTCTCTCTCTCTCTCTTTCTCTCTCTCTCTCTCTTCCCTTCCCTTCGCCCCCCACCACCCCTGCCCTTCCTCTCTCTAAGCATGTCCTCAGGTGAGGGTTGAAAAAAACAAACACCTCACACATTCTATATCATGGTTTCTATCTTAAATTCTTTTCAAAAGTCAATTATAGACGTCCTAACATGGCGCATGTGACACTTGAATCTAGAGGTTATAACTGTTCCTTTGACACATCGCTAAGTTGAGTAGAGTCCTTTTGTTATTATTCTTGTTCTATAAGCTTGTGGAGGCCAGGAACCTTGTCTCTTAGTCATGGGCCTGGAGTGTGGCCCCAGCCTATTCTACAGAAGGTACTAGAGTCCCTGGTACATGGGAGAGGACTCTGTGCTTGGGTTTGGAGTCACAGACACTGTTATTTTCTAGCTGTGTGACAGAATGTATTAGATCATC